AGCTGGTGAGTGAAAGCCTTAGATGTAAAATATACAACTTTTCTCTGCTGCCCTCCTTCCCTAAACCATCTTGCCTTAACGGAGGCTCAGTCGGGGGGACAATGGGACTGATCTGTAAATGATCTAACTTATCATTGCAGAAAATATACTTACTCCATGGCCACAAAATTTCAGCAATTCAGCCAAGCTTCATCCATCACATCATAAAGAATAACTTGCCAAAGAGGGGTTTGAAAATCCAAACCAGATCCCTCTCCACTCCTAGAGAGGCCAGTTCCATGACACTGCATTGGAGCCAAGTGTTTCCAGCAAGCCCTGATCAGTTGCATGTTAGGGCTTGGTTTGATAAACGGGACCTAGTAGATTAACATCATCTCCTCAGCCCAAGGGCTGACCCCAGTGGTGCTGCTCAAGAGGAAGGAGGAGGCTGGGAGCAGTGGCTCCCGCTTGTCATCCCAGCACTTTGCAGGGCCAAGGAGGACAAATCTCTTGAGCCCAGCATGCAAGAGCAGCCTGGGCAATGTAGAGATTCTGTCTCTACCAAAAAAAAAAAAGAGAAGGAGCAGGTGGAGGAAGGAGGAGCGGCAGAAAGGTTTCAGGAGCCAGTGTCTAGTTAGCAGAGGCCTACCCCAGGCCGAGGAGGGCCTCTCTCGGCACCCGTCTTTAGACACACCTCTGCCTCTGGCCTTTGAGATGCATGCATTTATCAAGCCGGAGGATCCGTAGTCATTAAACCAAGGTGCCAGTCTGGGGCCCAGCTTTCAGTGAAGCATCAGTGGCTTTTTCATTCCCATATAGCAACGGTGAGGAAGGCCCCATGCTCCCAGGGGCCCAATTCTCCAGGCCAGGACCAGATCATTTGTTCCTTCTCAGAATCTGAGATTTTTTGCTGATGGTTCCAGGATTGAATGCTGAAATCTAAAAAAGAAACTTACACTTATTCTGGTCAATGGGATATGTTGGAGACCTGAGAGGGAAAAAAATCAAACTAAAGACCAATTTCCTTCTTTAATGGAAAAAAAATATGAAAGTTAACTTAGAAGAATATTTAGAGTTCTAAAAATCCCACTCTGAGACCACTCTGCCATCTCACATTGTTCTCTTGAGCCTCATCTCAATGGATAAAGGTTACTAGAGTTTATTAGACACAGGAAAACATAGTTTACAGGAGACTTCTTCATTGTGTAGGGATTCTGCCTTCAGGCCTGTTCACCAGCCGAGAGAATTGTGCTTTTCGATCCAGGGCTCTTGGCCAGAACAGCCTTCTCACTCATTAACTCAGTCGACCAAATGCTTCCTGTGTTTCCACTGGTGGTTCAGAAACGATCAGAACACAGTCTGTGCCCTCTATTACCTCATGGTCTAATGGGGGAGAAACAAGAAAGTCAGAACTTACAATATAAGATAATAAGGAATAAGAACAGAACCTTTGGAACCAGACAGACTTCGATCCAAATATCAGTTCTGCATTTACTAGCAAGTGGCCTATCTTGGTAAGATGCAACTTTTTTCTCTAAGTCTTAATTTCTCCCTCTGTAAAGTATGACCTCGTGGGGTTATTGTGAAGATTAAATGGCATATTGTATATAAGGCCCTTGGCACGATCTTTGGAAAATAATAACCATTCAGTGAATGTAATCTACTAGTATAGCTGTGATTGAGGTGTTTATAAGGTGCTGTGGGACCCAGAGAAAGGAGATGAGAAGAACAGGAGAGAGGAAGGGATACTGTTGAGGAAGGATTTCAGGATGGAATCCCACCACAGTCTGTATTTTGAAGAAATGGTTGAAGTCAATAAGAAGAGTGAAGGGAAGGTGAGAACATTTCAGGCAGGAGGAATAAAATCTGAATAAGTGCAGAGTCCTGACAGAACATAGGGTGTTTGAGGAACTTGGCATGGAAATAGATTAATATGGCTTAACATGGAGCAAAATGAAACAGAACTGAGGCTAGAGGATGACCAGGACCAGGTCATAAAGGATACTAAAGGTGGGTAAAACTCATACCATGAAGGAGAGAAGAGTTACAATTTTTAAAAGAAAATAAATAGCCTTCAAGAGCTCAAATTTGAAATTAATACAAGATAGATGATCAAGTGAATATCCTGTCTTCTTGGTGAGCCTTACTGAGAAAACCTTATAATCTAACCCAAGGCAACAAACTGGAAATTAGAAAATAAAACTTAGAGATGAGAAAACAAACACTGAAACCCAAACTTTTTACTTGGAAATTTAAAAACATACTTCTGTATAACTCTTAGGTTAAAAATGAAATCAAAATTGTAAGACAAGCTGTTTAGAAAAGAACTGTGAGAGTACCATTGATCAAAGCCCATGGGATGAAACCAAAGTGGCACTAAGAAGAGCATGTGGAGGCTTCAATGCATTTATTAGAGAACAAGGAATACCAAACCAAATGAATTAAGCATTCAACTCAAAACAACTAGAAAAAGAGAAGAAAGTAAACCTAAAGAAAGTTTTAAAAAGGAATTCAATAAATTAAAAACAAAGCACAAAATGGTTAAAAACAGACTTGATTAATAAACCAAAAGTTATGTTTTTTTAAAAAAGCAAAAACTAGATAAACCTTTGACAAATCAGATTTTTTTTTTTTTTTTGAGACGGAGTCTTGCTCTGTCGCCCAGGCTGGAGTGCAGTGGCCAGATCTCAGCTCACTGCAAGCTCCACCTCGCGGGTTCCTGCCATTCTCCAGACAAATCAGATTTTTTTAATGAGAGAATGCACAAATAAAGAGCTCTAAGAGCTGGGCACAGTGGCTCATACCTATGTTCCCAGCACTTTGGGAGGCTGAGGCAGGAGGATTGGTTGAGGCCAGAAGTTCAAGACCAGTCTGGGCTATGTAGCAAGACCCCACCTCTACAAAAAATTTAGAAATTAGTTGGGTGTGGTGGCTCATGCCTATAGTCCCAGCTACTTGGGAGGCTAAAGCAGGAGGATCACCTGAACCCAGGAGTTGGAGGCTGCAGTGAGCCATGATTATGCCACTGCACTGGGCAACAGATTAAGACTCTGTCTCAAAAAAAAGAAAAGAAAAAGCATTAAGTTAAGATTAAGTTAAGGGGCATGAATAAATACATTTCATATTCTAAGACAATATCATCTGCAACTTTATTCCAATATAAATTACTAAAACTTTACCATATAAGTAGTAGAAAGCCTGAATAGATAAAAACTATGGAAGAAAAATTAAAGATAATGATAGATTTATCATTAAGCTCAGATGGTTCTGCAAACAAATTCTAAGAAACCGTCAGGGAACAGATCATTACTATGTCGACACAGAAGGCAAACTTCTCAACTCAGTGTATAAGGCTAGTTAACATTGTTACTAAAACAGGCAAAGAATGGCCCCCAAAATAATTCTAAACCAATATCACCTACAAGTACAAAAACCCTATAATAAAATATTAGCAAGTGACTACAAGGGTATAAGGAACTCTGTTAATGTAATTCACTGTGCTAGGTTAAGATAAAACCATAACTCTTCAAGATATCATAGCTCTTTAGATAGAGAAATGTAAAAACATTTGATAAAAATTCAACAACATTCCTGACTAAAACAAATTAAAATTTTTAAACCCCTGGATAAGCCAGGAGTAAAACATGTCCTCCATAATCTATAGCAAACATCATAGTTGCTGATAAACCATTAGAAGCATTTCCTTCAAAGTTAGGAATAAAACAAGAATTGCTGCTATTATTTAATCCCATATTGGAGGTTTTAGCCAACACACTATGGCAAGAAGAGGAAATGAGAAAGGTTAATGATGCAAAAGAAGAAATAAATAAAGCTACCATTGCTGATACAATTATCTATCCAAAAAAAGTAGAAATCCATGATTAAAAGCTATTCGATCTGACAAAAGTTCAGAAAATTGGAATCGTTTCAATATACTAAAATCAATTAGTTTTCTACACATCAGCAGGGATATATTAGATGTAATGAAAATGAAGGGTCCATTCACAATAGAAGCTATAAAGTATTTGAGAATAAATCTAACAAGATCTACATAAAGAAAAAAGTAAAATATTTAAAAGGTATTTAAGTTCACCATTTGCAAATTGAACTAAAGAAAAAATCTAAAGGAGAACTAGTGAAAATTGCTTGCAATCTTGCCACTCAAAAGAAACCTCTGTTAAAATGTATCAGTATTTTAAAACTGTGTTTTGTCGTTTGGAAATACGCCATATTAAGCAAACACAGCATAAGCAAATCAAGCAAAAAGACAAGCCTTTTTTTAAAAGCATATTTGTGAAAAGAGCATATTTGAAGCTATGATAAGAAACTGAGTAGAAGCTATAAAACATGGATTCATCAGGAAGGAGCAGAAGTTGAAAAGGAGATTTCTGGCTGGGCGTGGTGGCTCATGCCTTGTAATCCCAGCACTTTGGGAGGCCAAGGCGGGTGGATCACTTGAGGTCAGGAGTTTGAGACAAGTGTGGCCAACATGGTGAAACCCTATCTCTACTAAAAATACAAAAATTAGAAAGGTGTGGTGGTGAGCGCCTATCATCCCAGCTACTCAGGAGGCTGAGGCAGGAGAATAGCTTGATCCCGGGAGGCATAGGTTGTAGTGAGCTGAGGTCATGCCACTGCACTCCAGCCTGGATGACAGAGCAAGACTCCATCTCAAAAAAAAAAAGGAAAAAGGAAATTTCTGAGTAGAAACATGTTAGCAGAGGGAACTTCATTTGGGGAATGAAATTGTTTTGATGCCATGCTCCATCAGCTGACCACACAGATTCCATCCTGGCCAGAAAAAGCCCCTGCAAAGACCTCTGATTATTTTGGTTCTGATTATATCCTCAGTTCTCACCCATTATCTGCTTACCCTTGCTCCCCACCTATTTAAGATACAAAGCAAAACAAACCAAAACCACAGATGAGTTGCTTGGTAGAGCTTCCTAGGCCTCCAAGGCGGGGCCCAGAGGATTTTTTGACTGAACCCCGTGTTGTGTTTTCCATTTGTGCTTCCCCAGATCGCCCAGGTTTACTGAATGTGAAGCCCATTGAAGACATTCAAGACAACCTGCTACAAGCCCTGGAGCTCCAGCTGAAGCTGAACCACCCTGAGTCCTCGCAGCTGTTTGCCAAGCTGCTCCAGAAAATGACAGACCTCAGACAGATTGTCACGGAACACGTGCAGCTACTGCAGGTGATCAAGAAGACGGAGACAGACATGAGTCTTCACCCGCTCCTGCAGGAGATCTACAAGGACTTGTACTAGCAGAGAGTCCTGAGCCGCTGCCAACATTTCCCTTCTTCCAGTTGCACTATTCTGAGGGAAAATCTGACACCTAAGAAATTTACTGTGAAAAAGCATTTTAAAAAGAAACGGTTTTAGAATATGATCTATTTTATGCATATTGTTTATAAAGACACATTTACAATTTACTTTTAATATTAAAAATTACCATATTATGAAATTGCTGATAGTATTTCATTTACTGAGTCTTGTGTGTTTCCCACCCTAGCCCCTGGGCTTTCTTTTTTCCCCCTTTTCCTTCTTCCCTCGCTCCCTCCCTCCCTCCCTTCCTCCCTCCCTCCCTTCCTCCCTCCCCTCCATCTCCCCTCCGCCTCACCTACTCCCTTCCTTCCTTCCTTTCCTTCTTCCTTTATTTTTCTTTTCCTTCTTAGACATTTTAAAATATGTGAGTGGAACTGCTGATACAGTTTCATTCTCAGTAAATTAATTGTTTACTCAATTTACAACTTTTCGGAACTCCATCTGCTTTAACAATCAGAACTAAGAAGGGAAGGGGAACTTCAGAATCAGACGGCTCACAGCATGTGTTTTGTAGCCTGGATATGCTGATATGCAGTATATCCCTGGGCTTACCCAGAATTCAGTCTTCTTCCACAATCCTAACCGAGATTTTCACTCACCACCAGCAGCCTATTCATATACTACCTGCTAATCAATGCCACTGTGCACCCACAGAGCCAGTGGCCAGCAACTGAGCACTGCTAGAAACTCTGGGGAACACAGAACTGTTTTAAAATTTGGTATCTGGGCCAGGCATGGTGTCTCAAGTCTTTAATCCCCACACTTTAGGAGGCCAAGGTGGATGGATCAATTGAGCTGGTCTCCTGTTCGAGACCCCATCTCTACAACAGTTTTAAATATTAGCCATGTGTGGTGGCACACACCTGTAGTCCCAGCTACTCGCAAGCTGAGGCGGGAGGATTGCTTGAGCCGGGAGTTGAAGCTGCAGTGAGCTATGATAATGTCACTGTATTCCAGCCTGGGCCACAGAGTGAGACCCTGTCTCTAAAACAGATAAAAAAGATTTGACACCTGCCACAAAGAAGTTACCTATTATAAACTAAAGAGAAAAGATTCATCTTTTTTTTCCTATGGATTCAAATGCACAGATTAAATCCCATGCCAGGTGAATAGTAAGAGTTTGTAGGAAGTAAGATGAATGAAGATTGGAATCCTAGAGACTGAATCTGTGGATTTGCTGAAGAGGGACTCAGGGAAGTGTTGGACTGGAATAGGTAGAGAGGAGGAGAAAAGACATTCCAGAGAAGCAAAATAACAGGAACACAATGAAAGAAAAAAAAAAAACTGAGGGAGAAGAGCTACTTTTCTGTTTTCTTCTGCAGGGCAGTTTTGCTGTGGTTATTCCTGTCCTCCTTCCTGTCCTCCTCCTTGGGACCACTCTGTCCAGAGATCTCTTACTTTTCTGAACTCAGAGGCTAACTATCCGCATCATTAATGGAATGCTTGCCTCCCAAGCAAATAGATTCTAAGTTTCCTGAAGGCAGGACAATCTGTTCATTCTTGGCACAGTGAATAGATTCGTTGATTCAATCCACTGAATTCACTTGCATTGGCTACTCATGAACTCATCATACTATGTCTTTGAAGAATGCCTTACTAGGTGTCCAAGGGAGAGAATACAGTCGTGGGTTCTTAGTTTCTGTTTCTGACTGGGCCAATAAAGCCTCTTCCCTATCCCTCTTTTCCACTTATCACTAGGGGCAGAAATTAAAAACCATGGCTTCAGGCTACTAAAAGCCTAAACCAAACCAAACAGCAACAACAAAATAAGGCAAGTTGGACAAGCTTATGGGTGTAAACAAACTGTCTGGAGGCCTCTGTTGTGCGGGACGCGTATTTCCACTGACCTAAATTTCCCTGCCACTTCCTTAATTTATCTTGTCTTATGGTATTTACACTCATGAGACATAACTGCAGACTTGAGGCTTTCAAGCCAAAATATCAAGAAAGACCTGTTCATCTTTTGCTTAAAAATTACTGTATCTCCAAAGAATCAGGTTATAGAAGTGAGTACTGACCCCAGCCCTAAAAATGTAGGGTTCCTAACCCTTCAGGAGAGAGCCCTTCTGAGCTCAAACCTTTAGAATGACAAAGACTGAAGCCGTTGTCTAAGTAACATCAAAACATTTGGAAGGAAAGTGACAAATTCAGTCAGTCATATGGCTCTTTTTTTCTTCCTTGATGCCAAACATCAGGATATTTTGAAACACCCACATGACTGGCTAGTCTTCTGTGTAGAGAGCTGATGGTCAGGGATCTCTTGAAAGAGAGAATGTACAGGCAGTAGACAAGAGAGAGTCCACCTCTGCGGCGCTCCCCTATTTACAAGCTTTCTTGAACAAAAAGTCTTTCAGCCCCGCTGCCCGGTCGCAGTTCCCACCGGCGCTCCGCAGCCCATCCAAGCCTTTCCACATTATCGGAGCCGTTGCTGCCAATGGAAGGAGGAAGAGAAATGCTCTCAGCTCTCTGGCACTGATGGTTAGCATTAAATGGCTTTTAAATCCTGGCAACTTTCAAATTCCCATCTCTGACTTTTTCCCTGTGGCTTGGATGATCATTTGCTAAATATTTGACAACACTTTATATTCAGCCTCCAAAGCTCCTGCTCCTTTCTCCCTCTCTCTCTCCCCCAGGATGAATCATAAGTTAACGAATGTGTCATCAGTTATTCATAGTACTTTCTCTGGACACAAACACACGTAGGGATTTGTGTTAATAAAAATAGGAAGAAAAGTAACTTTGGTCAAGAGTCAAGAAAGGGTTTCCAGGCTCCCACAAGAGTCCTCCCCCAGCACCTCCCTGGAACGGACTCCCTTTTCCTTCCTCCCGCTGTGTGTGGAGCCCAGGAACAAAGAAGGGACACACAGAAGAAGCGAAGCTGCACACCCTGTTTCTCCAGCCACCGTAAGAAACTAGGCTGGCCTGAGTTTCTGGCTCCTTTTTTACAATGTGGGTGCAGAGCGAGGAGCCTGGGAGGCCCAGGGTCGGAAGAGGTGGCAACACTAGCTGATGTCACAATAGCAAATTTCCAGAGGGGCAGCTCCGCCACCTCCACTGACGGGCAAAGAGGGAAGGGCACAGAGGCGTCTGTGGTGGGCTTTCTTGGTGGCGTCTGGACTCCGATGACGTTTTCTTGGCTCCCTCAAGGCTAAAAAGCAGGTATTTTTGTGGACTGGTCCTCCTTGCTTGACACGGCCCGCTGACCTCGTGGTGCTGATGGAAGGAGCTGGGTGGGAGAGGGGCTGGATGTTGGCCTCTGGATACCCATTCCCTTGGAAATACCTAGTGAAGGTTGGAGGGCACGGGGCTCCTAATTCTACATCCTGAGAGAAATAATCAAAGCTCATTTCCCCATGCCCATCCCCATTGCTTTCTGGTCCCCCTTTTCCTACCCGTTCTCTCCAGGAGTTTGGGTTATGAGACAGGAGGACCAAGATGCCTACTGGTCACTAGGTGGCCCCCTCCCTACCTTCTGCTCCCCCCCACATCCTGGTGATTGGCCCCAGCCCCTGGCTGTCTCTGCATCATGAATGCTGTTGTTACTTGCACGTCTCCACCCTCACCGTGCCATTGTACCTGGTAGACCCTGCATTTAACACCGACTGAAAAGAAATAGCAGGATCTTAAGAGTTCAAAAGATCATACAATGTCCCATAGCCCCACTGCATTCATTAAACACATAGTCCATACTCCAGTCACATCTAGTTATGACGGTGACCCCAACTAGGCCGTGCTCTCAAGGGGTGCACAGTCTGTGGATGAGTAATCACAGCTCAGCAGACACAACAAGTGCCTAGAGAGGTGAAAGGATTTGCAGAGTGTGTGCATAGGCCCAAGAGTGTGAAATTCTCCAAGTGTTCAGAAAACGGCAGGGGAGGAGCATGGCTGCCACAGCTCCTGGGCTAAAATGTGGATGTGACCAGTCAGCGGCAGATTGTGGAAGCCTTGTCCTCCTGGACGAGGAGCTCTCTCAGACTGTGTTGGTAGCACCTGGAATCTGGGGGATGCTGCCAGGCAGAAGAGAGGCATATCAAATTTGCAATTTGGAAAGTCAGCACCCCAAAAGTCAACACTCCCCAAATTAGAAATTCCCTCTACAATGCTCCTGATGGTTGCCCAACCCACAGACAACTACTGAAGAGACAAGAAGCTCTCTCCCCTCTAAGCCCCTGGGTGATTTCCACCCCGCAGGCCTGGCTCTGCCCCTGGGCTCACACTTACCACATGCTTGTTCCTGTGCCCTGGGGGCTCCAGCTCACCTCCTTCCCTTCCATCTGGTCGCAATCTCTTGCCTCAATCCTAGACAGCTTAAGGACACTGACCCTATCCCCTGTTGATAGCCATTCCCTGCCGTTGCTCATACTGCCCCAACCTACAAAGATCCTCTGCTTCGAGGAGCTTTATTTCACCTCCTTAAGCTAATTCATGGAGATATTGTGGTCATTTTTATCCACATATGTCAAAGCCTGCCTGTCCCATATCTCATGTCCAGAAAAGGCCTGCATTGGTCATAGACCTCAAGAAAATTAGAGGCTGGGCACGGTGGCTCACGCCTGTAATCCCAGCACTTTGGGAGGCTGAGGCGGGCGGATCACCTGAGTTCAGGAGTTCAAGACCAGCCTGGCTAATATGGTGAAACCCCGTCTCTACTGAAAATACAAAAATTAGCTGGGCATGTGGTGGGTGCCTGTAGTCACAGCTACTCAGGAGGCTGAGGCAGAAGAATTGCTTGAACTCAGGAGACAGAGGTTGCAGCGAGCCGAGATCACACCACTGCTCTCTAGCCTGGGCAAAAGAGAGAGACTCTGTCTCCAAAAATAAAAATTAAAAAAACACATATTAAAAACAAACGAGAGATTATTATATAAGACACTTAGCACTGTGTGTAGCACACAGTATGTGTTCAATAAATAGCAACTATTATTGGAGACAGCACCCTGGGGTGGACTGCAGAGTTACGCTGATTTGGGTTAAAAGTCTAACTTCACAGCTTATGGTTCTAGGGCCATATGGCTTTGGCCAATCTCTTAATCTTTCTAGGCCTTAATTGCCCTCATATGTAAAATGAGATAATATCCACCTTAGAGGGCTGTTATGAGGACTAAATGTAATAATGGTTGTAAAACACTTCACTCAGGTTCCCGGTACATC